ACAGAATGCTGCCTACAGAAATAAAAGACATTATGCTATGAAAAACACTTCAAAATAGAATTAAAAAAATGGTTGCTACATTCTTCTAGGTCACTGTTACATAGACTTGTAGAAGACATACAAAAATAATTGACTAATACCTATTAAACATGAGTTTGTATTACTATTGCTTATATAATAATTTTATATAATTATATTATAATTTTGATTGTCGATCAACATTCACCTACCTACACTGATTTCACTACTCTATTTATTGTAAATTTAGAAGTTTCATTGTATTGTGTGAGTATTTATTACTATCTTATGGTTTAGATAATTTTATATTAAAAAAATAACGTACCTATAGTATCAATTTAATCTATGTTTAAATATCTTAACTGATTATGTTATAATAGTTTTGTTGTATAATGTTATGTTTTCTCATTTCATATATACATGTATTCACATCAAAAACAAGAAAAAAGTATTGAGTATACGGAGTTTTCACCCACGAACTAGTCGAAAGACTTCAGTGGGATTTTCTTCTTGTTTTCAATTCAATTCTTTGGAAATGATGCTGATAACTTGTTATTATTTTGAATTTGGAAATAAATTATTATTATTATTATTATTATATATACAGGTAACAATATAAGTGTGTCCCAGATTCGATCCCCGCCATTGGGATCTTGGTATAACTATTAGAGATAGAGAGTTGGTTGAATCACGAAAGTTTCAACAAAATCATTCTTGATTCAGGATCCGTTGAGAAATATTGACTAGCTTCGGTCATTTTTGAGTTATTGGAGAAAAAAAGGAATGTTGTATTTACGTTTTTCCCGAATATCTCGAAAATCATTGATTGTATGAGATAACAACTTCAACATTCTTATAGTAACTAGGAAAAGGCCAACTACCCAAAGTTGAATGCAATGAACACAAAGAGAAAGAAACTCGAAGTCATTACCACAATATAGTTCATGAAATGAACGAGAATGGTAGATAACGGAAGAAAAACAACTACTCTCCTGACTATACGCCACGCAGAATCGCAAGTGTTTTTTTCCTAAACGCCGAGTTAGGCCTAGGTGGTTCAGGAACGCATGACTACCTGCAGACCAGTTTCAAGCTGTTGGCTCTCATCAGTGCAGGGTTGTTTCAGATAGCAATCTTGACCGCTATCTGTTACGACCTGACCCAACGTAAACGGATCTCAGCATTTATACCCCACGAGGCGTTCAACGTCCGCGAAATGAACGCCGAACGCCACCTGGCAAGGAAAGAAACACTCCAAAACGAGTTCCCATTTCAGGTGAAACGGGAGTTGCTGGTTACCTGAGGTATTTCCAACTAGAAGAAAGCCTGTTCCTGAACCACTTGGATGCAGCTCAGCGTTCAGGAAGGAATCACGATTTTAACACGAATTATTGCATAGATTTCGGGACAATGTAATCCAATCCAATGTTATGAACTATTGTGGTAAATACTTAGAGTTTCTCATTCTATGTGATTCTAATAGTAATTTTGAGTGATCTTTCGAATGGTTTTGTTAGTTTTTGTTATGAAATTTCTGAGATATGACCTCCACCTTTTTTTTTTCTTCTCTTTCCTTTATTATTTCCAAAAATCGACAAAACTATTCGAATGATCATAAGGTCGAAGTTGTCTTTTCATACAATCATTAGTTTCCGAGATATTCGAGAAAAACGAAAATACAAAATTCTAGTTTTCTTTTGATAACTCAAAAATGTCTGAAGCTAGTCAAGATCCCTCGATGGATTCTGAATCAGAATTGAATTTACTAAAACTTCCGTAATTTAACCGACTATCTAAATATATCTCTCACAGTTACCGAGATCCTAATAATGGAGAGGACCGAATTTGGGACACACGATACAGTCATCCATTGAGAGTATCGAAAACCTTGTTTTCAAGGGAACTATTATTCATGTCCGATAACCTGAAAATCGATTCTGCCACAGGCCACGTGATCACTGATATAGGTCGCGTGCACGATGACCGACTCTGAAGTTGAAATATTGAAACACAACCTCACTTTTCTGTTAACATTGAAACACAACCTCACTTTTTTTATTTTATTGCAAAGGAATCAAAGGATTGAAATAGTTTCTCACAATATTTTGGCATACGAATGGTTTTTTGCGCTATTCCTTAATTCAAGCATGCCTTCTCATTGTGTTTCTCAAACAGTTGCTTAACATTCAATTTTCTCACCACTCACACAGAGTTTCAAGCAATAATTTGACAAAATGTTGTTCAGATTCACGAGACGAATATAATAAAAATCTTAGTGTCACGTTCCAATTCAATGAAAAATACTGTTTGAAATAAAACTGATTATTTGAAATCTGGCAACTGTGCGGATCTTTTTAATAAATATCCCGACAATTTCTCCTCCTTTCGTTTGTGAACTCAGCCAATAACAGCTGGTCGTCTAATGTGGCTTGATTCGTTCTTTATTAGGGGCTCTCATTTAATCTCAGAAAGACATTATAGCGTTATTTCACCGGAAGGAACAATGACATTTTATCCGGGGAGTTGTTATCCAGAATTTGTTCGTTCCAATGATTCCGAATGGGTTTCCTAGAAGACACGAAACAAATTAATGGATTATTTCTCTGTACTACATTGTGAGGAAGCTGATTCACCCAATTCAGATAAAATGATGGAAAACTGTGGTTAAATGTTACCGATACAAAATAACCCGAATTGCATCAATATAATAGGACAATAAGATCAATACACTACATACTGTTTCACACACTAACCAAACCGATTCTTAGGCCTCGACACGTGTTTCGCTAACTATGTTAGCATCTTCAGGAGAAGATTGAAGCTAAAGGTTCTATCATAGTGTGCTACTTATATACTAGGTATATGACCACCCAACCGTGAATGACACTAACCGCCAAATTAATGTTAGTCATGGTTGAATTCACATGTTAACCTTGGTCTTATCACTAAACTATACAGAGGGCTAAGTGGAATAGGTCCATTATTCTTATTCATCACTCTATCACTGTTCTTGAATATCTCGTGGACTTCATATGCATCTAAATTCCCATGGAAGATCATGCTTATGAGAGCTATATGAAAGCATAGGGAAATTCAAGAATAGTGTAATAAATTTGGAATAGTAATAGAGTAATTAATAAAGGATAATGGGCCTATTTCATTTAGCCCTCAGTATAGTTTAGTGATATAAGACCAAGGTAAACCTGTGAACTCAACCATGACTAACGGTTGGGAGGACACATGGCTAGTACCAATTATGCAATTCACAAAAAAAGTATAAAAATACAGAGCACGTACATATTATTATATCTATGCAGAAGACTAATCCAAAAAAAAATTTAGAAGGCTAAAACGAATAAAAAGATAAGGATTATGAAATAAGTGATTAACAGTTCCTTATCGCTTTCCTGAAAGAACAGTATTATGAATTGAACAGTTCAGGAGAATCAATGTAGCTATTAACAAAAAGATTAAATGACAGAGGTGCCATGTGAGATCCCTGTGGTACACCTGAGAGGTTGTGAAACTGAACTCCCATATCTCACATATTGGACTCTACTAGTGAAATAGCTTCTGATCCAACTTGAGATAATCGCCTCTATACCCAAAGCTTCAATTTTTGCATGTAACAGAATATAGTTGACTCTATCGAAGGCTTTAGAAAAGTCTTTTTTTTATGAAATGTTCTGAGAACATCGTGAGAACCAAGGGATATGAAGTAGGAGTTGGTGTTCTTCTTGAATTTCTGTAGGTTATATGCCTTGTGAAACACTTCCCTTGGCATTGCGTTCCAGAGCCTCGCTATTCGTTGGATGAACGAGTCTTTGGAAAGAGATGTTCTGCAGGTCTCCAAATCGACCACGAAGGGGTGCGAAGCTTCAACTCGACTGGTCAATCTCGCGGGGACTGCCAAGGGAGATACAATTGTTGATACTTCAGGAGAGCATCGTTCATGAAAATATCTATAAAATAGAGCCAGATCGCCAACTTTTCTACGGTTTTCCAGAGAGGTGAGTGAGTTTGTAAGCGAGGCATCACCCACGAGACGAATTGCCCTTTTTTGGACAGAATCCAACAGTTTCAGGGTATGCACTCCAAATATGGAAACAGTATTTCAGGTTGGATCTGTGCCTTATAGATCATGAGCAGCTGACTGAGAGTGAAATAGCTCCTGGCCCAAAACAGAAATCCAAGTCTTTGGGATGGACTTTCAGTAATTTATCTCACGTGATTTTTCCAAGGTTATTGGTGATAGTAATACCAAGCATCGCCGTTGATGTCTTCAAAGGTATGGTGAGTCCTGATATGCTTATGTTTGGCACAGTGAGATCGGCTTTTCTAGAGAAAAGGCATGCTTGTGTTTTGTTTGCATTGGAATCTACCAAGTTATTGGATCCCCATTCGAGAATTGTTGCCAAGTCCATATTTATGTTGTCAACATTTCTCCCTCGTTCGTTTCTGATTTGCCTGGCTGGTATTGGAGCCCTGGAAGAGAAGGCGGTATGGAGGGTACTATCATTCGCGAAGCTGTGTACTGGACATGAAGTTGCTTCCAACAAATCATTGATATGGAGTAGGAATAGTGTTGGTGCTAGAATTGATCTGTGATGTAAATAGGGTCTACTTGCAGCTTATTCTCTAATGAATTGATGAAATAATTTTTATTAAGCAACAGGTTTGTTAATGTTGATCGACTCCGACAGAAACGATGTTGTTGGTTAGATATATTAATTTCAAAATCCCATGTTAGTATTTTAGTGATCAAGCAATTCAACATTTTCGGTAACTCTGACTGATTACAAATGAATAGGTCTGACAAAACTGTGCTTCCAGTTGTTGGGTCACTTTCCCTTCTCAAGAGATGAATTGAACAGCAAGTGGATAGGCTTTGTAAAGTATAAATTCATATTTTCATAAAATACATTACATTATAGTAGAGACCTACCTACCAATCAGTTCTTTTCAATTACTGTAGTACTCACCACTCCATTATTGAATTTTCTCACTACACACGGGAGTTTAGCTGTCCCTCCAATTTGTGCGACGATTGTGGTGGAGTTTTCAGTCAGGAAAATCGCACCATGACCGGCAGGCAGCGTTTTCAGGAGATTTCCCGCCGAATGGTTTTTGTTCCTACGGGTCTCATAGCTTCTCCTCTCCCGATGAAAATCTGTACTGAAGCCTGAAAAAGAACAAAGCGACGTGTACAACATAAAAACGAGGACCACGGGTGTTCGATCAATAACACTTTGTCGCTGTTCAAAAATACTAATTAGATATCGCAATATACAATCTTATATACGTTGAAATAATATCATAGACCTGTATAACACGCTACAACGATACCATCATTATGCAAAAAATAGGGAAAGAAACAGGAAAACCTAGGATACAAATTTTTCGTTCAAGATACGTTTACCTAACATTAACTTGCCTTCAGAATCATATTTACACAGTGTATTTGAATCCCACCAAAAAAATTCAAGGTTGTTATATTTTGGGAAATGAAGTTTATAAAAACATATGTCCTAACTTGCTTCAGTTGTCTTTTCTTCAATTTCAATAAAACATTGTGGTTTTGTTGATAGTAATATGGAGCTTCTTCTAGTGCAATTAGATTCGAAATGATATGTCCAGTAGCGTCACAGTGGGTAAATTTTCATATTTTCATTAGATTGAGCTATTGAAATAACAACTTTTACATCCTTTGTGCGATTTTTGTATCTAGCATAATTTTTGAGGGAACATCGATTTTACTCCAAATTTTAATGTAGGTGTTTTCAAGACTTCCATAGAGATTACTATTTAACCCCAATTGGAATCATTTTGAAACTTTGGAGCTTTCTCAGTTTCCATCCATATTGAATTTTGGCACCATGGAAGCTCATACAGAAAGGTTATAAATGAAAACAATTATAATACTTTCAACTTCAAAATCCTGTATCTCAAAAACGGTGCAAGTTAGGACACATGTTTACATAAACTTCATTTGCTAGAATGTCACGAGGAAACACCCCTTGAATTGTTTCGGTGATGTTATTCAGATACACCCTGTATATTATATCTTATGATTACCACGTTTCTGAAATTTATATTCAGATATTCTGATATCAAATTCAATATTCAGTGTTTGAGTAAATGTATTATAAGTTTCTTGATTAGGTATCGAAGAATTTGAATTTTTGGTTTTTCTGTGCCTTTCGGAATAATGTAGGGTGTTAATCATGGCTATGGAGAAGTATTAGTTATTGTAAGTCATGACAATGCATACTTTTGTTTTTCTATTTATATGGCCTACCACATCTAAAAATATTTTTTCTGTTTTTTGAAGTTGTTCCATGTGAGAATGTCAGCATGTATGTGTATTACATGATGGCTATGAAGGGAATTTTCAGCAGTGTTTAACAAATGTTTTTCGCGATAAATAAATCGCAATTCAGTTGAGCTCATCAGGAATGAAACTGAAAGACAGATTTGGAAGATGAATTCAATCACAAATGGCACTTCATTCAACTATTTTACAGAGTAAAAAATGGAGAATCTGAAATTTGATAGAATGAATCGAGGAATGAATACTGTCTGTAGGTTAATCGAGGAGGTGGTACATTCATTATTCCAAATTTTTTGGGATTTTCTCTCCTTGTTTCTATAAAATAAAGATATGAATATTATTTCAATATACGTGTAGATGATTTGCCCCAAAATGTCACTGCGCGTTTAGAGAATTTTCCTATCAGAGAGCCTAAAAGAAAAACTCACTAGCTTGTCAGTGACAATTTGTATTGAAAAATTTCTTGGAGAAGAGAAATAAAGGTATATATAGAAAAAATATCAAATTTTCACTTATCTTTGGACGTTTCGGGACCGATTCTACTCCCGTTTTCAACATGAAAACAGATTATTTCAATAGCGAAGTCGTATAATATGTCTTGAAGCTTTTCAGTTTTCAATGACAATTGGTGACGTTGTAACTCATTTGATTGACAACGTCACCAATTGTCATTGAAAACGCTTCGATATTTTCTCTATATACCTTCATTTCTCTTCTCCAAAAATGTTATCAATACAAATTGTCACTGACAAGCTAGTGAGTTTTTCTTTTAGGTTCTCTGATAGGAAAATTCTTTAAACGCAGTGACATTTTGGGGCAAATCATCTGATTTGTCCTTACTACACGTATATTGAAATAATATTCATATTTTTATTTTATTGAAACGAGGAGAGAAAATCCCAAAAAATTTGGAATAATGATAGAATGAAGTTTAATGAACTGAAAACATTGACCTCGAACGAAAAGCATATTTGATTATTGAACCAGTAATAACACAATATCCTAGTTTTTGAAATAAGTGCACATATTCAGCACATTATTAAGATACAGTCTAAGGAATATTCCCATGATATCAGATTTTGTCTAATTCTTCTAATTAACGTCAAATTTTATTTTGATCCCTAAATTTTTTTTATTAGTGCCATCAGTACACGTCGAGCTTTCCCAGTGTTTGAAATATTTGCACTTATTTCAATGTCACCCTGTATATTTACAGTTATTAGATATATTTCGCCGAAGAAAATAAAACAATCTTTGGGAATGCTTTCGATCGAAATTTATTTGACAAACAGTTTGAATATTATGAAAATAATTCGCAGATTCGAAAATCAGGAAATGAAAAGTGATATCATAATATGTTCCATCTAGTGGGTAATCTAGTTATTGTTTAGTATCAGGATTCACTTGGAAACATTTTATTTTGTAGATATCTAATCCTAGTCAGTGTACCAATTATCATTATATAGCTGATATATTGCCACGAGTAGAACATACGGTATATTAGGAATTTCGAACCATGCGAGGGTTTTATGAACATAAAAGCACATATTGGATGTGAGGGTTCCGAAGTTAGTCTGGTCTGGGGCTACTCTTGACTCGACAAGAGCTCGTCGTAATGGTAATCATCATGTAAGTTGTTATTCGTGGTCTTTATATTCATCATTGTTTATTTCTATTTGTCATTAGCACCCATAATGTTTCATGCTTCAATAGATATTGTTTCGTTTGAATATAGTTTCGTACTTTCAGTTACCCCTGAACTATTAGTGCCTATTTTGAATATGACCTCTCGCAAACTATTAAGCCAAGCCTTACCCCTTATAAATCGATATTCATTTATTCATTTATTTATTTGAAAAAAATACATCCAACAGGCCCAAGAGCCCATTAATAGGCGTACAAAATTAATAATAGTTGATAAGGGTAGTCCTATACTAAGCATAATTGATACTAAGTGAATGAGAGCATAATGTATAATTATCAATCAGGAAGTGTGCTGAGAATATCACGTTTTAATTGTGCAAATGACAAAAAGAAAATATCTACATTGGGTGTATTGTTAACGCTCCTAGACATTGTTGATAAAGGTGAGTGGAAGTTATGCACTGTGTTAGGTACGGGAAAGTAAAATGTGTTACATGAGCGAGATGAGAAACGAGGTACATTGAACATCATTTGTTACAATAAAGTTGTACAATCTATTTGGTTGTGTATTATTTTGTAAATAAAGCACATGTCTCTCATTTCGCGAAACTTTCTTAGTGATATCAGATTAAACTCCTGTAGCAAGAGGTCATGGTAATAGCCTCTAACGGGATAAATACCATGTTTTTTATAATAAGCAAATTTCAAGAATTTCTTCTGAACGTTCTCAATAGCCATAATGTATTTGGAATGGAAAGAATTCCAAACAATACTGCAGTACTCAAGTTTGCTTCTGACCATAGATGAGTAGATGCTCTTCAAAGAATCGAACGACTTGAAATCTCTACAGTTGCGTATAAGAAAACCTAAATTTTTTATCGATTTAGAAATGATATGTTCAATATGGTTTGAGAAAGTCAGTTTTTGATCAAAAATAACTCCTAAGTCCTTCGATTCAGTGATACGCATAAGAGTGTTACCATCAAGTTCATAATTAAATGTGAGTGGGAAAAGTTTACGAGTGAAAGTCATAACTTCACATTTTTCGATATACAAGTGGAGTTTATTCTGAATGCACCAGTTACTCAGAGAATTGAAATCTTCTTGAAGTACAATGTAATCTGACTCAACCTTTATTTCTCTACAAATCTCCATATCGTCAGCAAATAATAGCTTGTTAGGATGAATATGATCAGTGATATCATTAATAAATGTCAGGAATAATAAGGGACCAAGATTTTACCCCTGAGGAACACCAGATGAGGCTGTAAAGCAGGAAGATTTCATTCCATCACACTCGACAAAGAGCTCGACAAAGAGTTTCCGTTCTGTTAGGTATGAATTGAGCAGCAACTGAATATTAGTAGATATACCAAAGCTTGACAACTTCTTCAGTAGTTGAGGGTGAGACACGCGATCGAAAGCTTTACTGAAGTCAGGTTAGGTTAGGTTAGGTAAAGGTAAAGATTACATCCACCTGGTTCCTCTGGTCAAGGGAATCAGAAACGGATAGTGAAAAAATACAGAGGTTAGATGCAGTGTTTCTTGCTTTGACAAATCCATGCTGGAAGAAAGGCAGAGAAGAGCTGACATGATTGTATATAAGTTCAGATAGTATAATCTCGAATATTTTTGAGAAAACTGAGATAATGACTATTGGTCTATAATTTTCCACAGGAGTGATATGCCACAGTTCCCATGTTTTGTCTCTGTGTTTATGTTTTGAACACTCTACATCCTCAACTAGGAAAAAGCGTGGCATAGGTATAGCCAGTAAAGAAGTTGTTCTCTGGTTATCTACCATTTTCGTTCATTTTATGATCTATTGTGGTAATGACTTTGAGTTTCTTTCTCTTTGTGACTCTACATCCTGTTCGAAATATTCAACGATGATATTATAATTTCATAAAAAGTGCTAGTTCAATGATATACAGGAGGAATTGATTGATGGATGATACGAACTGACACCGAAGCTATTATTTCGTTAGATAGGAACTGAAATGAGAGATAATTAGTGAATAATGGGGAGGCGGTGGAATGAAATGTCCGTATATCACGAGAAATTCACTAATCAACAATATAATAGAAAATCCTATACCACAACGTTTATATCCTACCAGTAAAACGAATCATTTCATCAGATTGATGATGATCGGTAGCTGAGAACAATGTATCTTTCTATGTACTCCCGTTCTACTATTTATCTT